TCAATTACACAAACAAGCTGAGTTTCTCAGAGCTTCTCTCCTCCCCCACGGCTCTCAGCCAGACGCAGTCCAGCAGCCGGTGGCAGGGAGAGAAAGGATTGCCTGTCTCTCCTTTGGTCTGCGTCCACGTCTTTGATTCGGGCTCAGGGTTCAGTGGGGCTCGGGGAAGGTAAAGGAAAGTGACAGGTCTGTTTGGAGCAGAATCATTGTCAACTGGCATTGGACACCTCTGGGTGGCAGATGCCCAAACTCTGGCCCTTGCTCTCAGGAGGCAGACCTTTTGGGGGTTGTGGCGCCTTCTTTGGGGTCTCATCCTGCTGGTTCCTGGGCTCAGGGGACACACCTCTGGCTGACCACCTGTGCCTGCCCCCTCCACTCCAACTGAGAAGTTCTTCCGTAGGCAAACGGCAGACTTCTTGGCCCGGGATCTTTTGGGATGGCTCACACCCAGCGACCTGGCACTGTGTCCAACTGGTCCTCTTTTGGAAACACTCTTTCCTTTTGCTGCCAAGCTCTGAAAGCACAGGGCGCTCTCACAGCCATCCCACCCCCACCTCGGCTATCACTGGGGCAGCTCCCGCCATCCTCTCATTTCAGGTCCTCCCCCTGGGCGAGGTGGGCTCTGGCTCTCTGTCCTCTAAGCTCCAGGTCCCTTGGCTTGAGCCGTGCAGGGTGACGCGCAGCTTGGACACGTCTCCCCGGGGACAGCCTCGGCACCCACCCTCCTTTGCCAGGTCAGTGCCTGCTTGAGGCTGAGGCAGGTGACAGGGTGAGGATGTCACAACCGCTGCCGGAGTCTTGCTGGGTTGCATCTGGTGCTGCCTTTGAGGTTCTGGGGGAGAGTAGCCATTCTGAGACAGGAGAAGTCCCATTTAACATCCCATTACATATAACTAACGTAATTGTCACACAACTGGGATCTTTCACATCCTATGTAATAAAAGGATAATATGCAAATAGACCAAATGGCAGAACAACTGAACAACCAATCAAAGCGTAATATGCTAATGATATGCTAAGGCTGCTCAACTGCTCACTATGATGTGCACTGACCACCAGGGGCAGACAGTCAACTGGTCGACCAGTCACTATGACATGCACTGGCCTCCAGGGGGGAGATGCTCCAAAAGGTAGGTTAGCTTGCTGCTGGGGTCCAGCCGATCCGGACTGAACAAGATGGGCTGGACACGCCCTGGAGCCCTCCCCTGGTCTTTCCCTGGCCCGATTGTGCACCTGTAGGGTCCCTCAGCCTGGCCTGCCCCCTTTCGTAATTCAGGACCCCTCAGGGGATGTCAGAGAGCTGGTTTCAGCCTAATCCTGCAGGCCACTCCCCTTGTGAGGGTGCCAGATGCAGGGCTCATGAGTGCTGCTGCAGAAGCATGAGCCTCTTCCAATTGGGACTGATTGGGTGCGAGGTCGTGGCAGGCACAGTGGGGCTGAGATGAGTGGGAGCAGCAGGTAAGAGCTGCAGGCAGCATTGTGCTGTGGATTCCAGCCCGATCCCTGCAGGCCTCCCAGAGGGACCCCACCTGTGCATGAATTCATGCACCAGGCCTCTAGTATTTTATGACCTACCTTTTTTCACTTCATATTATGTTTTGGGCATCTTGTCAATAAGTACATCTCTACATTCATGTTATTTTAAATGACTGGTCATATTCCTTTGTGTGGATATACTATGATTTACTATCAAACTCTGATGCAATTTCCAGTTGTTTCTAATTTTAGATTATTCTTAATAATGCTGTAATTGGGCTAATTCAAGTGAAGCTGGTGAAGCTTTGGCTGCAGAGTCCTTCACTTCCTCAGGACCCTTCCAAATGCCCAAAAAGGGTCTAGCAATTTTATATTCACAATTTTGTCTTCTTTTTATAATTGGGGCCCTCTAAATGGTGTAAGCTTCAGGACCCACAAAAGCTGGCTGTGCCCCTGGCTGTGATAAACAGCCTCACACTCAATTTTCTGTTGGCTACATCTTCATTTCCTAGAAGCAGAATTGCTGGGTTAAGGAAAATGCACATTTTTAAGATTCTTGGAACACATGGCCAAAGAGCCCTCCAGAAACAGTGATCTAATTTGCACATCAATCCTGCCCTGAGAACACCCAAGACTGGGGTGGTTTCTATGGGATTGTGTTTCTCTGTTATTGTGGTTCCGCTGTAGCTGCCATTAGCACCTTCTCCTAATAACAGGGGTCTTGACCTGAAATCCATGGGACCCCTGGGTAGAATTCTTGGGGTCTGTGAACTTGGATGAGAAAAAAATTACATCTTTATCTCCATCATTAGCCTGCAATTAAAATGTAATAGCTCTTCCTGTCATAAACGTAGGCCACAAATTCCTGTGGTATTACCAGTCCCTGTGACATTAGCAGCCCCATTGCTGAGAGAAATCTCAGGTGTTTTCATGCCTTGTTACAGCTGTTGCAGATCTCTCAAAATATTGTTCATGATCATCAGTGCTTCAAAATTACAATAATTATTAGACCTGCCACTAGATCTCATTATTTAATCTATACTAATAATAGACAAATATGTAAATTGACCATCCCTCTGCAACACCCACAGCCAATCAGGAGTGAGTATGCAAATTAACCCGACAAAGATGGCAGGCCTGTGGGCAGCACGCACGTGTTCAAGCGCTGAGTGGCTGGGGGCGGGGTGGGTGTCCCGCCCCCTGGCTGCTCCGGGCCTATGTGCGCAGGGGCTCACTTGGCCATTGCCGGCGGTGACCTGGGAGCAGCCAAGCGGGCCCCACAGACAGCAGAGAACCATGGGGAGCGGGCCTAAGCCATCAGTAGGACATCCCTTGAGGGTTCCCGATTGGAGAGGGTACAGGTCGGGCTGAGGGACCTCCCCTCCCACCCCCCCCCCCCCCGCATGAATTTCGTGCACTGGGCCTCTAGTGTGTTAATAAAAAACATGTATTACTAAGTCACAATTATTTTTTAAAATATATTGATAACTGCTGTCAATATAATTGTTTTCCTTTGTTATCATGTGTATTATTTGTTTTATATATTTGAAAACCTCATTCTGAAAAGGGACCCATAGGCTTCTTTGAACTGCCAAAGGGTCCATGGCACAATAAAGGTCAGAACCCTTAATGTGGGGCTCTTCATTCACATGTTTTTGAAACTTGTGCATTATTTAGAAGGAAAGGAATTAAACTGAAGCCAGGCTCGGTGTCAGGTGCTGGGGTACAGAAGATAGAAAGCCCCTCTGTCCTTGAGTAGCTCACAGCCTCAGTGGGAGATGCAATTTCATATCTCCTGCCACTCATTTTAGATTTTCCAGAATTTTAAGAAAAATCAGAAATACAGATTTTATATGTTCCCATATAAAACAGTTCTACCAATTTTTAAATGTTGGCAACTAATCCAGATTTATATAAACTCCTGTGCGGGCCAAATAAAGCATGCCTGAAGGCTAAATCTGGCCCATAGGCCACCAGTTTTCAACCTTTGCTCTAGGAGGAGAACAGAATTCCAGTTAGGGTGGAACAAGTTCACTCTGCAGAACAGAGCAACAGGGATTCTGAGCTCCCCACCCCCACCTCCGCTCCGTTCCTGAAAACCAGGGAGACGGGATTGGAGCCCTGGTCTTGGGAAGAGAGGACATGGGAGAAGGAGCTTTTTTTTGTTAGGGGAGCAGGGAGCAGTGTGGATCCCTGCAACCTAGCTGCAGGCTGGGCACGGACAGGCCTGAATGGAAGCAGAGGCTACCATGGTGAGGGCATCAAAGGAGCTGTGGCAACAATGAGGCCATTAGAAGACTGTATACCTAGAAAACCCGAGAGCCCCTAGCAGAGAAACAAAAGTCAAAAATAAGCGCAACAACAAAGAAGCAAATTAAAAAACAACAACCATTTGAATTAATAAAAATTTATAAGGTTATTGGACACAAGATAAATGTACAGAAGCCAATCACTTTTCTCTAGTTTGACAAGAAAAATGTAAAAACAAAAAAGACACTCATAAGCTGCTTGTGGAAATGTAAAACATTAGTGTCTTTTGGAAAGGTAATCTTTATTAAAGTACACATATTACACATAATATCTATCCATTGACCTAGAATTCCACTTATCAGTGTTCATCTGACAGAAACACAAGTCCCAGAGACTATAGGCATATGGGCGAGGGTATTTTTGCAGCATGTTTATAGTTTCAAAAAAATATAACAAACTGAATGTTCATCAATTGACAAGTGCCTAAATAAATTATGGAATATCCACACTGTGGAATATTATATACTATCATAAATGAATCAGAGCTATGTCAGTTTGTTTAGGGGGGATTTTTTGAAGTATTGTTGAATAAAAAAAGCAAGAGGCAGGAAAGTGTATATAATATAATCCCATTTCTATAAAACACGGAGACATGCATATGTGTATTTGCATATAATTTAAATGCCTGTCAATGATTACTTGATTATAGAGAAAACACAGAAGGTTAGATATGAGAATGTTAATAAGTTACTTAGGCTAAAAGGGGAGGGTTGGGGCAAGCTGACATGGGTGGTGCAGGACTAGAGGAGGGAGCCAAGCCCATCCTACCCACCTACCCTAAAATTTTTGAAGCAGCGGCCCTTGGAACTGGACCCTTACAAGGATTGACTCCCGAGAACCCTTCTTTGGCCATTCCTCTCACCACCATGTATGTGGCCTTCCATATTTTCCTCCATGATTCTAGAATGGGTAGGCAAGACACTGAGGAAGGGGAAGGCCAGGAAGGCCCAGTGTAGGGGCTGTTTTCAGTGCATGAAAATGAACCTCAGAGTCTATGGTGTTGCGCTTTCTCTCCCCAGGCATTTTGGCAAATTCATGGGAGTGAGGGGAAGAGGTTAGGAGGAATATTAACTCACACACTCACTCACCTTAAGTCCTCCAGCAGTCTTAGCTTGCAGATTACATCCTTGGAGAGGATTTCTCTGAGTCCACCCGTCTCAATTATGTCTCCTTACTATTTCCTCTCATGGTTCTCATCGTAATTTGCCATTTTGTCTTTATTTGAGTGTGTGTATGTGTGTGTGTGTGTGTGTGTGTGTGTGTGTGTGTGTGTGTATGTTTAATGTCTATTTCCCCCCATAAGCAGTGAGCCAGGAGCAGAGGGATCTTGTGAGTACAGCATCTAGCATGGTTGGTATCAGGGGCTTAAGAAATTTCCGTTGACTTCAGTAATTCACTTATCCTCTTTTTCATTGACTCACTGTTATATTCATTCCTTTATTCATCTATTCCCTTATTCATTCCAGAAGCATGTGCAATTGGCTAATGACTTTTCTCCGGATATGAGTCTTCAGTTTCCTTGGGGTGGCTTTTTGGGGGAAGGTGGGAGTAGGGACATGACTGCAGAATTCCAGGAATGCATCCACAAGTTGGGAGAGCTGGGTGAGTAGGAAGTTCTCCAGAAAAGAAGGGAAGATCCATGAAAGCTGGAAGGTCAAAGCAGGAGGTGCTATAGGATCAAAGAAGACAAAGCTGAGAGTGACGGGAGGAAGGCTGGGCATAGGCAGACTCTTCCCTGTCTCATTCTGGATGGAATTGTCCCACTGGCCAACGTGCTCATGCGTTTCTCTGTCTGGAGCAGCCTCTCCCATCTTCATAAGCTGAAATCCTACCCTTCCCAGCCAGGCCAGCCCAGATGTCCTCGAAGTCCATCTCACTCCTCCAGCTGGAAGGGCCACTCCCTGCTGCAAACACCCCCCCCCCCCCCCCCAACACAAAATCTGGACCTCCCTCGTGGTGTTGACCACTTCCTGCCTGTGCTGTGGTGTGGCCCCTCCCTCCCCTCTCCCCACCCTAGGCAGAGGCTCTGTCTGTTCCCAGGGATCCCACCAGAACCCAGCACAGAGTGGATGCTCAAGCCATTCTGGCCTGCTGTGGGTGTGAGGGGCAGTGGTTATAATCCCATTTTATGGATAGGGGACTGGAGGCACAGTCAGGTGGCTTGACCTGCCGTTGTTTCCAAAGCAATGCTGCAGCAGTGCCTAGATTCAGGCCTGCGTTTCTGATCCCAGAGGCAGGGCTCTTTCCAGGGCAGCTTGGTGGGAGGTGGGAGCAGGGAGGGTGGACGGGGAGCTGGGTCCTGAGAACCAGCAGGCCAGAGAGCTTTGGAGTTCAAATGGCCAAGTTCAGGGAAAGCACAGCTGGGGAGGAGCCAAGGTATTTATTATGCTTGGTCTCCAGCTCCAAACAGAGCTGATGGATGGAGTTGCTCCAGTTCCTATAAACAGCTTAGGCCTCCCTCCCCTCCACCGACCGTGTTCTCTGCCACCACAGCCCCAACTGCTTCCAGTAAGATGGGGGAGGGGAGAGAGATGACCAAGGGAGGAAAAAAAGAGGCCAGAGTCGGGAGGGGAAGGAGAAGGTCAGACAAGGTCCTAGAGGCGAGAAGAAAGTGGAGGGAAGTGGAGGGAAGAGAGACGACTGTTTCTTTGCCACACCACTGGCCACTGCTGCTTCTGGGCAGCCCATGCTCTGCATCGCCTCTGAGGTCTCTGTGTCCCCTGGGTCTGTCTGAGAAGCCTGTCACCCCAGTCTCCATCTGAGGGCAGATCTTAATCTCCACATGTTTTTAAGTCCATCCATTCAGGAAACCTTTTCTGAACTCACCTTCTGTATTGGCTCGTGAGGCCCCCCGGGACAGGGAAAGGACTCCAGTAGGACCTCCCTCCAGGAGCGCCTAGTAGGTAGACGTCCCAGTGCTGTGGCTTTGAGCAGTGGGAGGAGTGCAATCAGGGTAGTCTCCCCAGAGGAGGTGACTGGGGCCGTGGTTAAAAAAGGAGGAGTTTGGCAGGTGGGGTCAGGATGGCTGAGACATTCGGGTGGAGGAAGTGGGAGAGAGGGTGGTATTGGGGAGGACCTGCCTCATGTTGAGGTTGCTGGCTCTTGAGTTTGGACACTTCTTAGCTGTGGGAACTTGAGTCTCTGTTTCTCTAAAATGAGGATAATAATAATAGCAATCTCTTCACATATTGCTAGAAAAACATACGACAATGTACATCAAGTGCTCAGTGTCAGCTCTGAACACAGGCAGGAGGTGGCCGGAGAGAGATGGGGCTGGAGGGCCTCAGGGACCTGGCCTGGGAGCTGCCTACAGGGCAGGGGCACAGAACCCAGGCAGGGGATCCCTGGTCCTGGGGGTGTGCCAGGACAGAGGACTGAGTTGGTAAGACACCTTCCGGCCATGGGTGCTTCCCACCTCCCCATCACAGCTCACTGAGCTGAATGAGCCTGGTGACCTGCTCCACAGCCTGTCTGTGACTGAGCGGGCGAGGACCTCCCCTCTCCCTGGCTCTTGCCGGATGCTCTGATGACCTAGTTGGCAGCTATGTCCACGTTTGGCTAAAAACAGGAATTTCTGCCTCACTGGGGGGTCTTGACCAGGTGAGCAAACACCCCTGTTTGCCAGGAAAAGGGGTCAGGGGCCTGATGGGATCCTGGCTGGATGGGAGGCCCGTAAGGCCCTGGCCTGAGCTCAGCCCCTGCTACTGCCTCCCCTTAGGACTTCATCAAAAACCTACTGTGTGCCAGGGTGTTGATTCTCATGCTCTCGCACTGCCCAGCCCCATCCATGAAATAGGCATGTAAACTTTTCCTTTGGAGAGTAGGTACTGGGAGCAGAGTTGGGAGGTAAGAGCTCACAGACCAGAGAAGAAGCTGGTTGGAGAAATCTCCAGGATGTGTGTGGGGGGGGGGGGGGGGGGGGTGGGGGGGTGCGCGGGGAGTGGAGGTTAGAGCATCATTAAGCTGGAACTTGCGGGAGGGGAGGCTGGCACCTGCAAAGAGGCAGCATCTGGGTGTCAGGGGAAGTAGGGGCCACATGAGGACAAGCACAGGGGGCTGAAAAGAGTGTGTGGGAGCCACTCCATACTTTCTAGACTCTGCCTCAGAGCCCTTTGCCGGCCCCTACCCATGTAAGGTGCTCTTGCCTCCTCTCCCAGCCCTCCCAGCCCACACCCTGACCCTCCAGCTCCCTTCCAGAACCCGGGAGAGCTCTTCTTCTGGACCCTCCTGGCTCTTCTTCCAAGGCCAACCGTGAACTGCAGCCCGGCTGCTCACCCTCGTTCTCCTGCCGTGGGGCGACCTTCAGTTCTCTAGCTGGGAGGCTTCTGGGTGTCAGGCTGCAGCTCAGAAGGGGCTGGGCTGAGATAGCGAGGTGGCATGGTCCGAGCTCTGGGGTGGCTCTGGCAACGGGGGCGATGACATTCCCGAGGGGAGAAGGCCCGGGACAGGAGTGCTAGTAGTTGTCGTTCAGATGGCTCCAGGCAGATGAGCCTGAAAACAAGGGGCCTGAGAGGAAGGTGAAAACCGGGTACGTATCCTAGATGCTGGGAGGGTGTGCCAGGGAGGGCGTGGGTGATGGGGAGGACAGGGCTGGGAGCCCCCGCAGCTGAGAGGTCAAGGGGGTACGGACTGAAAAGTGCACTGAGTTTGGCCAACTCTTGGTGACCTTAGCCAGGGCAGTGCGCGGCTCTGAGGAGCGGGAGGCAGCTGGGTGGGCTGAATATGGGGGGAGGAAAGAGAAGCTACTTAACCACGAAGTTTACCCATGAAGTAGGAGAAGGCAGGGGAAAGTGGCTTTAGGATCTTTTCACTATTTTTATTTTTTTAATCCTCACCCAAGGATATTTTCCCCATTGATTTCTAGAGAGAAGGGAAGGGAGGGAGGAGCAGGGGTGGATAGAGAGGGAAACATCGACATGAGACAGACACATCAATCGGTTGCCTCCCACATGCGCCCCTACTGGGGCTGGGGAACTTGCAACCAAGGTACGTGCTCTTGACCGTAAATCGAACCCGGGACACTGCGGTCCACAGCCCGACACTAACCACTGAGCAACTGGCCTGGGCTCTTTTCACTGTTTTTCAAATGAGCACCACTTGAGCTTAGCTGGTCTGAGAGGAAGAAGTAACTAGAGAGGAAGGGCTGAGGAGAGAGGAAAGCGAGGGGGCAAATGAGAGAGGAGGGATGAGGACCCCAAGGCGGGGCAGAGGGGATGAGCTCAGGGAAAGGGCCTGAGAGGGTGTAACTGCTGAAAGCCACCATCTCCTCAGTGGTGGTGGGAGCGGGGTTTGCTGACCGTGAAGGGGCATGATGCGCTGAGGCCCCAAGGTCCTGGGTGGTGATGACCGGAGCCTCAATCTTCCACCTACAGGTCCTACCTTCCGGGGGTTTGCCATGCGGGTTCAAAGACCACAGTGGGAGTAGGGGAGGGCAGGGTTGGAGTGAATGCAGTGGTGCAGGTGACCTGAAGCAAGGAGGAGGCTGGCAGGCCGCACTGCGTCTCCAACATTATTTTTAATACATTCATGTGGGTTATACAAAGAGCTAGTCCCAGGGCCTGGGCTGTGGCCTGGCTCCTGGGCAGTGAGAGCAGCATTGTGTAGTGTTTTCAAAGATCAGGCGTGGAGGGGCCCACGCCTGCCCCACGCCTGAGAAAGAGTGTGTGTGCAGTGAGCACCTATAGTCACAATTCCAACCAGGACTGGGCCCTGAGCTGCCCCTCGGGCCCCCTGGGCCCCAGATGGGGCCAGGACATCAAGTTCCAGCCCTGGCTTTGCCACTGACTCCCTGAGTCCTTGATCCTCTCTGGGCCTCAGCCTTTTCATCTGTAAAATGGGGCAGAGAGAGTGGAGTTTTCATTGTCTCCCACTTGACCCAGCACCATCCTGAGCCAGACCATGGCCAAGCACAGGTGGGAGGGGAAGACAACAGCACAGGGTCCTGCGCTGGTCCCAGGACAGCCCATGGTTCCATGGATATGAGGGACAAGGGGTTAGAACTAGATTTTTTAAACCCATTTTTCTAAGAGGGGAGGATCCCTGTATGAGGAGGACCCAAAAGAGCGTTTGGAGCATTATCTTGTGATGTGACACCTGAGAGAGAAGAAAACCACTCAGGTGCAACCCCCCAACCCACCCCCTGACACCCGTAATGAGGTCTGACTCCTCCTGTTTTCCACAGGCTCTGCCCCTGACTTGTGCATCTCGGAGCAAGTCCTCTTCTCTTCCTAAGCCTCAGTTTCCCCATCTGTGTAAGGGGGAGGTGGGACTCAATGGTCTCACATTCTAGACTGTGCTCATTGGAGAATGGGGATGCAAGGGCAACAAGAAAAAAAGACCAGTCTGCAAAGGGGGGAATGAGGGAAACTGAGGCAGAGGAGGAGAGGGCCTGGGAGAGTGGAGGGAGAGGAGCTGGTGGGGTGTACAGTGCAGGATGCTCCCAGGCCCTGTGCCAGCATGGGGGCCACTTCCTGTCCCCCTGACAGCCTGCAGCCCCGCAGTGGCCAAGCTCAGTCCCCGGAGTCGGGATGATGTGATTCTGAATCTCAGTGCGGCGTTTTGTAGCTGGGACACCCTGCAGGGAGACTTGGAGCCTCTTTTATAAACTGGGATTAAATGCCAGCCTCAGAGGGTTGTCCTAAAGAGGCAGACACAGACTTGGGTTTGTTACTGCTGCCAAGCCTGGGGCAAAACAGAACCAGAGACCTAAGGCCTTCACTCCTGGGATGGAGCGGGGAGTGAAGGCCACGGCAGTATTGGGGCCAGTGTGCAACACCAGAGTGCCAGGTGGGCAAAAAGTCTGTCCAGAGCAGGAAATGACAGTCCAGTGCTGGCCGCAGCCCAGGGCAACAGCCTGTGAACCGGACCTGCTGCAGCCGCCACAGCCTGCCATAGTGCAGGACCCACGGCACACTCATGGCTCCAGGTCTCTTCCAGTTACAAATTCGTCATGTTCCAGAGAAGCTGCAAGTCATTATCAGAAGATGTGACAAACAGTCTGCTTGGCAAGGTCTCAGACAAATCCTCCTGGTCTTTCCCCTCCCTGGCCCTGGCCTGGCGGGGCAGGACTCCCCACTTTCCCCTCCCTCCCCCTCTCCCCCCAGCACTCAGCTCACACTGCCGAGCTTTGGAGCCCTGGGCCCCACACTCTGTGTGGTCGCTGCACAGCTCTGTGATGCCATCCCCACCCCGACTGGGAGATGCTTGATGTGTCTCCTTCATCAGTGCCCTCAGTGCCCAGCGCAGGGTGTGGCACAAAACAGATGTCTGGTGAAGATTTGTTGATCTGATGGCTCATCCTCATTCTCTGTCACTCCCACTACTGCTCAGCATCCAGCTTCCACAGCTGGACCGCACGTGAGGCCTGGGAAGTGCGTCACCTACTGATGCAGCAGGATGCAGGGAAAGGAAGCCGGGGCTGGGATTTAGAGATTAGGGTTCTGGGACCCTGGCCCACTGTGTGGCCTTGGGTTAGACCTCACCCTCCTCTGTGCCTCGGGCTCCCTCGCTGTCCTGGAAGGGTCTCCGGCCGAGCTCGTCCGCAGCCTGGCTGCTCTAGGCTTTGTACTGTTGGTTGAACCTCTGCTGGCGGACACAGCAACAGGTGGCCAGCATGGTGAGGACAATGGCAGAGACGAGAGTGAAGGTGAGGATGATGATGAGGTTGACATTCTTGAGCCCCCCCTTCTCACAGTCCTCAGGACGCACGTGGCTCAGGAACACCTCCTCCTGGGAGTCGAAGCGGCAGATCAGGTCCTGGGTGGCGTCCACGTCCACACGGCCCTGGTGCAGCTGGGCCGCCAGCCAGCCATTGCCGCAGCAGCTGAGCGGATTCCCCTGCAGGTAGAGGCGCCGCAGGCTGGTCTCCAGGCCGCCCATGGCACTGCTGGGCAGCAGGCTGAAGCTGTTGTTCCTCAGGTCCAGCACCTCCAGAGACACAGCCTGCGTCCAGGCCGGCAGGCGGCTCAGGCGGTTCTCGGCGAGATTGAGCTGCTTGAGGCAGCTGAAGCAGGGCAGGTCTACCTGCAGCACCTCCAGCCCATTGCCCTGCAGGGCCAGGACCTCCAAGGAGGCCTCCAGGCCCACCAAGGCCCCCGTGGCCACATCCAGCCCCGGATTGGAAGAGAGGTCCAGCTCCGTTAGTGGTGTGTGGAGGAAGGCACCTGCCCAGAGCGTCTCCAACTCGTTGTCCACCAAGTTTAGGCTGCGGAGGGAGGAGATGCCAGAGAAGTCCACGCAGCCGGAGGGCCCAGGCCCCCCTGGCCCCCCACAGGGAATGACCCGGTTCCCTTGCAGGTTGAGCCTCTGCAAGCTAGCCAGGCCAGCAAAGGTGTATGGGGGCAGGTCCTGCAGGGCATTGTGCTGTAGGAGCAGCGTCCGCAGAGACCCCAGGGCGCTAGTGCCCAGCTCCAGTGTCTTCAGCGCATTGTGGCTGATGTCCAGGAGCACCAGGCAGGGCAGGGAGCCCGCACTCCGAGCCTCAAAGGCCTTCAAGCAGTTTCGGCTGAGGTTCAGGAAGCGCAGGGAGGTCAGGTGCCCCAGAAAGCCCTCGGGGACGAGCTCAATCTCATTGTAGCTCAAATCCAGATTCAAGAGCTGGGAGAAGGGGTGGGTGCTGGCATTCCGGCTGGGGTTTGAGAGGGGCGAGGCTGACCATCCCTCAGAGGGTGCATAGATGGCCTCGCCACCCTGGGGCGGCCCCGCAGGGAGACTGATGAGGTTGCTGGACACGTTCAGGTAGATGAGTCTCGGGAGTGCGGCCAAGTCAGGGAAGCGGAGCAGTCTGTTCTCCCGCAGGTCGAGCCAGGTGAGCTGGTACCCGGCCTGGGGCTCGGGAGCCATCTGAAAGGCCTCGATGCTGTTGCAGCTCAGGTCCAGCACCCGCAGCTGCTGGAGGCTGAAGTCGGAGATGCAGGTGAGGGAGTTCCTGGACAGGTTAAGGTGGGTCAGGTGGGGCATGGCCTCGAAAGCCCCATCCTCAATGTCCATCAGCACGTTGCTGTGTAGGTCCAGCCGCTCGAGCGCAGGTGTGCCCCAGAAGGTCTGGCGGGCCAGGCGGGTCAGGCTGTTCTCCGCCAGTGCGAGGGTGCGCAGGGCTGGCGCCTCCCCCAGCAGCTGCTCCACCAGGCCGCTGTACAGGCTGTTCCCAGACAGGTCCAGAGACTTCACGTGCAGCAGGGGGCCCAGACCCCCAGTGCTCAGCGCCAGGCGGTTGTGGGCCAGGTTGAGGTGCTCCAGGTGGGACAGGGCCTCGAAGACACCTGGCTGGACGAAGCTGATCTCGTTGGAGCTCAGGTCCAGGTGACGAAGTGCTGTGTAGAGGCCCAGGGGCGAGGCCAGGATGCTCTGAAGCTGGTTTCCAGACAGGTCAAGGGCTTCGATGTCCCGCGGAAGCACCGAGGGGACCTGCACCAGGCCAAGGAACTGGCAGAAGACCTCCTTGTTCACCTGGGGACGGGGAGGCAGAGAGAGCAGCAGGCATTAATGGGCGCAGTAGGAGCTGGAATTGGACACGCGCCTCTAGAAAGGGTGACCTTGAGCTCCCGCCAGGCTTGGCTGGGCTTCTCCCCTGGCCTCCCAGGATGCTCGACTTTCCTCCATCCCAGCCTAATCACCCATGTCCGGATGACCCCCATCCTGCTCCTTGCCCCCATCTCCGGCACCCAGTGCAGCACTGGCATCAGGGAGGGACTCAAGGAAGCTTTGATGGGTAGACAGAGAGATGATAGGAAGTTAGAAGGACAAATGACCAAAAACCCTGTACTAGCCATTAACCCATTTTACAGGAAACTGAGCCACAGAGCAAGCATGCCAAACTCTCCGCCGCCGGCAGGCTGCAAGCTTTGTTTAAGTAAATGAGGCATGCGCCCGGCAGCCACGAGTTTGACATGCTTGATCTAGAGCAGCGGTTCTCAACCTTGGCTGCACATTAGAATCACCTGGGGATCTTTTTAAAATCCTGATTTCTGGGCCTCATCCTCCGGAAATTCTGTTTCTTTGTTACGAATGTTGTGACCCCACCCCATAACAAAGAAACAGAATTTCCAGAGGATGAGGCCCAGAAATCAGGATTTAAAAAAGATTCCCAGGTGATTCTAATGTGCAGCCAAGGCTGAGAACCACTGGTCTAGAGCGCCCAGGGCCATGAGGAACAGAGTCGAGCTGGGACCCAGGCCTCCTGGTTCCACACCCTGGCTTCCGCCTATGGGCCCGGGTAGTTACGTTGACCCAGTGGGTGTAAGACTAGATGAGCCCACTTTGGGGGAGTTGTTTCCAAAAGGAAAAAAGGCAATTTTCCCTCTTGTCATCAGTTTTTAGCTTCCTGTCCTCAGGTCTCATTCAAGCCCTCATCCTGGGTCCCAGAGCCTGCTTCCCCGGTAACACTCCCCAGGAGGGCCCTTTCTGCTGCTGCTACCCACCCCCACCCCTGTCAGTGGCTGTGCTTCCCCAGGCCCAGTACTGATCTGGTCCTGGAGATGGGGTGGGCGTAAGGGGCAGGGGGGACGATGTCCCGGGTCCCAGCCCACGTTCTCTGATGACAACACTCTGATTTTGTGGTGCGTGCCCCATCAAGTCACACGCCCACCCTGGTTTCTTATCCAGAAAGTAACTCATACTTCCCTCTCACTCACTCAGCATTTTAGATTTTTTGGCATTTTCAGACCCGTGGTCTCACTGGGTCTTCACAATAGCCGGCCCGTCAATATGATTGCCCCCATTTAAGAAAAGCAAGCCCAGAGAGGTAAGGAAGGGTTCAGATCACCCAGCTGCTAAGGAACAGAGCTGGGTTTTCAACCCAGATATTTTAACAACTAAAGGCCCCACTTTTGTCCTATCTCATGTGCTTTCTGAGGCCAGAATTCTTTCCATGTAAGTGCAGCCTTCCTCTCGTCTTTTCTAGCATACCAGAAGCCCCAACCTTTCTCAGCTGGTCTGACTTCTACCACCACCCAGCTCAGGCCCACTCCTGCCCCAGCTTCTGTCTCCACTGACCCTTCTGATCCACCCACCAACCAGATGCCTGGCAATTGCTCTCAAATTCCACTCAGAGAGTGCTGCCTTCTGTTGAAACCCCTCCAGGGCAAACTCCAGGGCTCTCAGCAGGTTCAAGGCTGTTTGTGGCCCCTGAGGAGCTGTCCCCTCTCCTCCCAACCAACTCCAGCCCAGCCCACAGGGACCATATCGGCCCACTGACCGTTAACCCTCCCAGCCCCAGCTCTGGGTCTCCTCCTTACTGTCCCCTGTGCTGGTTATGTCCTTCCCAACGAAATCTGCACGGGGAACTCTGCATGCTAAGTCCAGGATCGCCTCTGCCAGGAAGCCTTCCCTGATTCCTGGCCAGGTTGGGGCCTCCTTTGGGTTTTCTTACAGCCTCTGTGCTTCCTGTCATAGCTTTGGCCCCTGAATTGTGGCTGTCTGTGTGGGGACCTGCTAGACAGTGAGCTCAGAGCAAACGGATCGGTTTGATTGATGTGGAGGCCTTGGACCTGGCCCACAGAAGGTGCTCACTAAATCTTTTTAATGAATGAAAGAGTCCTAGACATCATTGGTTTGGTAAAGGCCTGAGGGATTGAGTCACCACCTTTCTAAAAAGAAAGTAAAGGGATGATCCATATATTCAGACTGAAGTCAAAGACTGTTAGAGCAGAAAGGGTCCAGCCCACCCAATTCCAAGATGGGGAGACGGAGCTTGAAGGTGGCAGTGACCTGCACGAGGTCATGGTGAGTCAGTAGCTAAGCCAGCAGGGCCTGGAGATGGGGTGAGGGTAAGGGGATTCCCTGCCTGGCCCCAGCTGTCAGCTTCCTCTCAAGATCCCCAAGGTGAGGAGGGCGAGGAATGGACTGCCCTCCAACAGGCACCTGTGTGCCTCTTCCTATGCTATGCAGCACAGTAACCAGCGTGCACAGCGGCCCAGGGATGCCCCTGAGGTTGGGCACCATGTGAACCAGAAACCTATCCTGGCCACCTGGCCAGTCTTGCCTGGCTCCTTGCCCCTTTCTCCCTCCCAACCTCTCGGCCACCTGGGGCCACCAGGCATGGTCCCTCATCCTGTCCTCAGTCCTGCACCATCCTTATTTAAGAAGTCACAGCAAAAACAACATTAACACAGTGACTGCCACTAACCATGAGCACCAGCTGTGTGCCAGGCTTGTGCTGAATGCATAGGTCCCTTGCCTCATTCAATCTTCGAAGGCACATTTACCTCATTGTACCCTCTCAGGAAGCTGAGGCTCGGAGGAGGGAGGTGGCTTCCCCAAATCATATGTCAGAGGCTCAAAACTACCTTTAGGAGTTCCTTTTCCTACTGCCAGCCACGTTTGACCACTGCGCCCTCAGCTGGTTGAGTACCCAGGTTGAGTCCTTCAGCAGAGTAAGTAACACCAGTTACCACTTCCTGAGCATTTACCCTGTGGGGGGCACTGTGCTAGGCATCACATGTTCTCCAGCAGGCAAGCCCATACCCCATTTCACCCCTGAATTCTCAAAGGCTCCCTGGGCCACCAGCCCCTGAGAGCTGAGTCAGGACACAGGCTGGCCAAGCCCAGAGCCTAAGACTTGCTTTCTGCCCGGGTGCCCAGGACCCCTGCCAGGGACCCAGAGGAGGCGGCTGCAGGCAGTGCTGCACCACCGCCCGGCTCTGCAGTTCAGTCGGAAGGAGCTTGAAGGCCAGCGTAGCTCTCAGCACTCACTTCCAGCGCACCCCCCATGGCCCAAGCTCCGAGCCCCCAGCACCACTGCCTTACTTGGGGAAGGGTCTTGGAGGAGTCAGCCCTTAGCAACACTCTGCCCACTCTCTCTGGGATGCCAGGATGCCACTGCCCCAAGTTTTTTGTTTGTTTTTTGTTTTGTTTTTTTGGAGGGAAGAGGACTTGCCACCCAACTCCATTTTGCCACCTGCACAGAGCAGGGCAGCAGGGCAGTAAGTCACTCGCAGTGGGCAGCATAAGCCCTGGGAGCTGGGTTCGAAACCGCTCTGTTACTTCTGATCTGCATAACCCTGGTGGCCACAGCTCTTCTCTCGGCCGCAGTTTCCTGCTGAAAAAGGAATCTGGGCAGGAGAAAGGGAGAGAATGTCCTCAGCATGCAGCAGGCAAACCTTGCGAGCCCTCGGCATGTGAAAATTGTTTTTTAAATTTTTTTATTATCTTAAAAATCATCATGACTCCTTCTATGGCAGTCCAGAAGGCACCTTCCTGCCTATTATCTCATCTCTCCCCAATCCAAAGCTCACCCCATTCCCCTTCCTGCTGGGTGGCCCGGGCCTTCCCTTCTCTGAGCTGTCTCCCCGGGCAGAATGTGGGGCTGCGTCTGGTGACATCTGAGGCCTCTCTGCCTATGATTCTGGGTTCTGGGAACTCAGAAGGGCTCTAAAGAGCAAGAAGTAAGGTGACCACAGCAGGACACTGCAACGCCAGGGGAGGGCTCCGGGCCTGGCTGCCAGCACCTGCAGCCTCCAGAAGCCGGTGGCCATTCTGTGTCATAAGCTTTCAGTCCCAGGTCCAAGTGGGGCTGCCACAGGGCCTGTCCCTTCCCCAGGGCAAGCTTCTGCCTTGAGCTCAGTGACTGCCCAGCTTCACAAGTGGACCTGGGTGGTCTCTTTTCCCTGCATCCCACAGGGTGACAATACGTCAGGGCTAGTCTCCTGAACAAGGGCAGGAAAAAGGAACAGAGTGAATCAAGCCCAGTCCCTGCCCTCGGGAACTTTGGTCTGGTGGTGAGGCAGGCTTGGGCCCACTTGCGAACTATACCACGTGCTCAATATTGAGGAGGGAAGCTTGGGGCTGGGGAAGACCAGCAAAGGGAGCAACAGAACCAGGTCAGCCTGGGAGGAATCAGAAGAGGCTTCCTGAAGGAGGCAGCATTTGACCTGGGCAGTGATGAGTGAGGCTTCCCAGCAGGGCTGTGGCAGATGGGCCCAAGTCAAGGAGCCCAGGGACCCAAAACAGAAGAGCCCTTCCCAGCTGACTGACCCCAAATTCTGTATCACCTTGTGGGGGCAGAGGGAATAGAGTCCAATATTGGCCCCAGTGGTCCCAGTTGAATGACCTTGGACAAGTCACTTAACGTCTCCAAGCCTCAGCTTCCAATTCTGTAAAATGGGAATGATGGTACTTACCTGGCAGGATCAATAGTAAATAAGGTATTTAAACATTCTAGCAGGTGCTAATCAAATGCAAGGTTTAAATACATTCCTTTTCCTTTTCTGATTCCTCTAACTTTGGCTTCTGGGGCTGGGAGGACAGAACACCCTAGGACTGGGTGGGGGTGGGGGTGGGGGAGCTTACCCTGCCTGGGCAGGGCTTCTTACCATCTTACAGGGCACCTTGTCTCCCTGTTGGGAGGTAGCCAGGCCCAGGGTCAGCACGGGCAGGAGCAGCAGGATCTGGTGGCTCATGGCTCTGCGTAGGGCAGGGAGGAAAGGGGACATTGTAAAATCTCAGGCTCCTTCCCACGGCCAGCCCACACCCTCCCACCCTGCCCTCAGACCACAGCTGTATTGAAATGAAGGTGTAGCCCATCACAGAGGGCCTCCAATGCTACGCCAAGGAGCTAGGCCATGCCCCCAGAAAGAGTTTTTAAACAGTGGGCAACATGGGCAGATTTGGGTTTCAAAAGTCTCCAACTGGTGGAGGACAATCTGGAGGAGGTGAGCAGGAGGCAGAGGGACCCTACGGGCTGCCCTGGGCCAACCTCAGGGCTGGGGTGAGGTGAGGTGGGCAGCTGGGCCTCTGACTCCCTTTCTACCCAAACCACAAGCAGCTCACCCCTTCGTAGCGCCTCAGACCCCAAACGGAATTACACACAAACACACACACACACACACACACACACACACACACACACACACCTTTATTTTGCCCTTTTTCTTTTGATTTTCTGATTCTTGAGCCCCTGCCATTGTTTGATGGCTGGGCCTGGAGCCCTGACAGGAAGCCCCACCGGAGGCTTGCCCTGGCTCGGCATTGTGGCTGTGAACTTCCCCAGAAGCAGGCTGCCAGGCCCTTTACTTTCACTGAAGCCACCACCCGTGCCAGGGCAGGGGGACACACGGGCCTGTTGGACCTGCCCTTCCCTTTATGAGCAGCCAGGGGGGCCTCAGCAGGGTGGAATCTCAGTGCTACTAGGAGCTCACTCACTGAAGACCTGGTTCAGGGGCTAGGAATACACAGCTCAATCTATCAATTTCACTCATTCATTCATTCATTCATTCATTCATTCACACTTTTATTGAATGCCTCCTCACATCTAGCTCTGTGCTGGAAACTAGGAACACAAATAAATGCACAGAAGTGACCATAATACATACAGAGCATTAAGAAGGAGGGACCCTCCAAGAGCACTGGACTCAGAGTCACCCATATCCAACTGTTCCCTCTGATTCCTCTACTAACCTGCTAGGTGACCGTGTGCAAATCATTTCACCTCTCTGAGTCTCGGTTTCCTTTTCTGGGGTTAATGCTGACGTCACCAAGTTTTCTTAAAGATCAAATGACGTATATTCTACTCAGGGAGCCCTTATCCTGTACCAGGCACGCTTCTCTACACTTTACATGTATTAACTCATTTAATCCTCACAATAATTCAATGACTTGGCTCCATGATTAGCGTTCCCATTTTACAGACAGGAAAACTGAGGCCCAGAGAGATTAAGTAACATATTCAAGGTCTCACAGATAACAAGTCTGTCTCCTAGTCTGTGCTCTTAACCTCTACACTATATGGTCTCCAAAAGGGATCAGTAAGTGGGTGCTGAGTTGTGACTCTGAGGGTGCTTTAGGAGAAGACGCATTTATAGGACCTTTGTGGGCTGGGTCTTTACTATTCGACCCAATTAGCGTCCTTACAATGAATTTTAAATGAAGGTGGCTGCCCTGAGTTCCTTTATTGTTCAAATGTGGTCTTTCAAAACCTGTTCCCTGGGTTCCCCTAGGCCATGGGCCTCTGCCCCCACAAAGGCTCGCTCTTCTCACCTGCATTATGGGTCAGGCTTTTACAGGAAATTTTGTTCTGCTGTTTAAAAAGCAGAACATCACCACCCATCCGAAAGCTGGTATACGCAGAATTGAGTGGAAACCCCTCAGGGGCCCTTTGAGGCCCTTGGGGAGTATGCCTTGCGGCCAGCTCTTCTCTCCAACTTCATTTCTCACTGCCCCCTCTCCCACTCAGGGTTCTGGAAGCCTCCTATTGCCTTCAGGTCTCAGAGCCCCTTTCACTGCTCCAAACCTTCACTCCCTCCCTTCTCTGTGCTGAATACCTCCTCATCCTTTGGGTCTCAGCTAAGATGTCACCTCCTCCAAGGAGCCTACTCTGGTTTCCCAAGTCTGGGCTATGTGCTTGGCTCTTCCTCCAGGTTCCCACAGCCCCTGAGCTTCCAGTGAGCACAGCACCGAGCACTCTATGAGTATTCCCTCCCACATATTCCTAAGGGAAGTGCCCCTAGGGCAGAGGGACAGGCCAGGGAAGGCACTGAGAATTGACAGGAGGAGTCTCAATGACATGGTGACACTGACGAGAGCAGTTGCTCTCCTTGACTCTCCCTTCACCTCCCTGCCACACTCCTTCTCCCTGACAGTGGGCTCTGTCTGTTCTCTATGAAGAAACCCCCAGAGCTGCCCACCTCCCTCCTCCATCATTGCCACAAACAGAGTCACCACCATGGCCCTGGGCCTCCACCACAGCAACACCTAACTTCCACCCTGACCCCTTTCAGTCTGGCCTACACATAGCTGCCAGAGAGGTGTCGTTAAATCATAGATCAGATCATGAATCTCCCTGCCTAAAAACCTCCAGTATAATCCAGGCTTTATACCTCTCCTCTCTGACTCCATCTACCATTTGCCCTTCCCTCACCAGATTCTCGTGTTTGCCCTTCTTCTCACCAGTCCTCAAACACCGCACGTGCATTCCTACCTCAGGGCCTTTGCCTGCTGCTCCCTCCACCTGGAAGGCTCTTCCCCACACCCTCACATGGTTTATTGTTTTCATCACATTGAAGATTTCCTGATCATTAATTTTTTTATTCTATGAGGACAGGAGTCTATCAGGTGGTGCTCACCAACGAGCTATTGAACAAATGGCGGAGCGAGGGGTAGAAGCTCTACTGAAACGGGCTGAGGGGTAAGTGTGAGGTGAGGACAAGGAAGGCCCTGGCTCAGTACAGAACTGGAAGGCATTGCCGCCCAAAGGGGCCCTCATTTTCCCCTCCTCTGCCTGCCCCCAAGGTGGGCATCAGAGCATTCAGCAGGGACGGTCCCTGCACCAATGGAACTCGGGCTGGCATCTGACAGAAGGGGGCCCCTCAGCAGTGGGCATCCATCAGCAGTGCCCAAAACAAAGTGTGTAGAATTTGAGGGCAACTCTCTCTCAAGAGGGAAGAAGACTGGGGTCACTTAGACCCAGGCTGACATCTAGACTACTGCTCCCCATCCTGTTCTGGGGCAAGTCCCCTAACCCTTCAATGCCTCAGTGCCCCATCAGTAGGGCAAATAGCCTGGTTCCCATTCTACCACTGGCTACTCCAACTATTGCGATGAGCAAGCTGATAATGCCTGTGATAATGTCCTGGACAGATTGTCTTTTTAGCTGGGACAATGACCGGCAGAGCTAAACGGCCTAGGCGAGATATGCTGAGAATGGAGACCTCAAGCTTGCAGACTAGAGGCCTAGGCAAGAGGAGGCAAGAGCTATCTTAGGATTCTGACCGGGAAGGGAAATGTTAAACCATGTGTGTGTGTGTGTGTGTGTGTGTGTGTGTGTGTGTGTAGAAAGAGAGAGGGTGGAGGGGGTGGGATGAGGTGGGACAATGCCTACTATCATAACTAAGCCCATCCTTACCATTTAAGGATGTTCGACATTCTTCTAAGTACCTGACCTATATTATCTCACTTAATTCTCACAACAAACCAGTAAAGTAGTTACTATAATTTCCATTTTACAGATGAGAAAACTGAGGCTCAGAAAGATGAGAGGATTTACCCAATAGTTATCCAGCTCATAAGTATTTTGGGATTTAGCCCAGGTCTACATGACCCGAATGCTGTGTTTCCCAGCAGGTGCTGAACTGCCTGGCCCCTTTATAAATGTCCTCAATTGGCCTAGGAGGAAAACGAGGCTCAGGGAGGTGACTGACCCAAAGTCACACAGTCAGTTAATAGAGTCAGGATAAGAACCCAGTCTGTCTGCTTCCAAAGCTCATGTTCCCCTGCACCAGGCCAAGATCTCCCTCTCTAACCCCCTCGAATGACAGCTTCCCCCCAACATCCACAGGTGGACAGGCTCACAGTGCTGGACCCGGCTTCCCCTTCCCTGCCCATCAGGGATCCCTGGCAGAGTGGGGTCCTGAGAGCTGCTGTGGAAGCCCCTACCCAGCAGTGAATCACTAGGGGCAGACATGTGCATCCCACGGAGGAATTAGACCTTAACCCAAAGGAGTGTGGCTGTGATGACAGAATCTCAGGCGGCTCAGGGTGGGGGTAGGGGTCCCTCACATCTTACCACCCTCGAAGAAGGCTGCTTCTGAGACCCCTGGAGAGAGGTGAGCGTCCCCCTTCCCCGTCACCGCAGGTAGGCAGGCTGTCTGGCGCGGTGGGATGGGAAGCCTCACGCCCAGCCGCCCAGCGCAGAGCAGAGGATGGTAGGAGATCTGGATTCAAATCCTAGTCTGCCCTCGACTAAATGTACATTCCCGGCAAGTGCTGGCCTCTCTGCCCTTGTGTTCCCATCTGTCAAATGGGAACAGGTCTCACCCCTTTGCGGGAAAGATCTGTTGAGTTAGCCGCCTGGGAGCGCTCCGGGAGGGTCAGCCCTGGCTCCACGTGCGGGTGGAGGACGGCGGCGAGAGGAGGACCCCGCCCAGCTCCAGGTCCTCGGCTCCCGAGGGGCGCGGGGCAGCCGGGTCCCCCGAGGGCGGGCCAGCCCCGCTCGCGCGGAGGCTCCTACCTGGCTCAGCGCGGCCGCCGCTCCTTTCCCGCGCAGCCCCGGCACATTTTGCGCAAACCAGCTCCCCGGTCCCACCCCGCGCCAGACCCCGGGGTCGCGGCCCGAGGAGGCGCCCGGCAGATCCACTGCCCCGCGGGAGCCGAACCCGCGAGGGGGCGGCTCGGGCTCCAATTTAAATACCTCTCCCGCCCCACCACGCCTCCTTTCGGGCCAGCCGCGGGGTCCTAGCGCCGGCCGGTGTTCCCAAGAGGGAGGGGAGCATCTTCTTGATGCTGCTGAAACCCCGGCTGGGAAGCGGCGGGTTGTAGGGGGCGGGATGGAAGGGCCGGAGGGAGCGGGGTCGCCGAGGAAGCCCAGTGCCAGCGAGGCCAGCCCTGGGCCGCCGCACGTGCAGCTCGTGGCCCCGTGGGGTCTGGAGGGGCGGGCGGCTCTAGGAGCCGCAGGTCCGCAGAGGAAATCCTGCCTGGTCCCGAGTTCCCGCGGCCGGCGCCGCTACACTTAGGATGGGGGGGGGGGGGGGGGCGGGGAAGGGAGGGAGGCAAACAGGAGAAGTGACCGCGGGTTCGAACGCGGAAGGAAATGACCCTTCACTGGCCCTGGGGCGGCCGCCGAGGGGATTCCCCACCCCGCGCTGCCTCCTCTGGACAGTCCAGGCAAGTCACCCCCCTCTGGATGTGGCCTAGTATCCAGACCTGTCACCGACCCTGAAGCAGCCCTGTGACCGGCCCCATCAACGCTCCCAGCTTTCAGCTTGTGAAACTGAGGTTAGGGACGGGGACAGCGAATATAAACAAAAACCGGTCTGCGTTTGCTAAGACCCCATTTATATTTGGGAAACCGAGTCTCGCGAAGGTTCGATGGCATATCCAAAGTCTCTAGGAGACAGGGATGCGAGCCCCCTGTGGCCACAAAGCTAAATCCGGGCCCAGCGGAGTGCCCCTCTGCAGGCTCCATTGTGCTCAGGTTCAAGTGCTGTGTTCAGGTGCTGTGCAGAGTAGCACGGTGGCACTACTGACCTTTACATCAGAGACTGCGGCAAGTCCTCCCCCGAGCCACCCCTCTTCTAGATGACTTGGCCCTAAGTCATGGGGATTGTGGAGCCCTGCTGGGGGTGGACTCTGGGGTGGGGGTGTTGCAGGAGGAAGGTCTTTCCTTAGGTTCCAGGGTAGAAGGGAATTCCTCTGCCCGCTGTTTCTCTTTCCTGATAGAGTGGCCCGAGTGCCCCATTTTACAGATGGGAAAGTGGCCCCCAAAGTTTGTGGCAAATCGGGGTAGCGCTGGGCTTAGAGCTGGGTTCCCTGCCTGCTTGGTGGCTGCTGCCTTCTCTTTCTCCCATCTGGCTCACTGTGGGGATGGGCCTGGGCAGAAGGGGGCAGCCCAGAGGAGACAGGCCTACCCTAGCCTCAGAGGAGGAGATGGGGAGAGCTGTCCTACGGCGGGAACTGAGCTGCAATGAAGACATGGGCAGGGAAGTTGCAGGCGGTGGGCAGGGTGTCCAGACCCCCACCCTCCCTCCCAGCCACCTGAGGCCTCAGATTTTTGCTCATGGAGGTCCCAGCTGGTGATCCCAACCCTTTCTCTGGGCTCTAGTGCTCACCTGGTCAAATGGAAGCTCAGTTTCCCTGTCTGAAAAGTGGGGGAGATAGTAGCTACTTCTCTGGGTTGGGGCCAGAACTAAGTGTCGTGGAGCCAGCCTGGGGCCTGCACCCAGTGGGTGTTAGGTAACTACTCACTGTCTTGGTGGTAATTGGTGATATCTCTGCAGTACCCTGCAGGCTTCCTTTTCCGGATCCTTATCCAAGAGGCCAGCCAGTGCCCAGGAAGGGATTGCTAGCAGTTCTCCGATACGGGCAGAACATGGCTGAGTGGGTGGGATTCAGGCAGTTCCTGGGTCTTCCACCTGACCTGAACCCCACGCAGCACCCCAGGTCAGCTGAGCACTGCCACGCCCTCTCCTGAGCTGCCGCCAAGCAGCAGATGCTGGGCTGGCACGAACTCTGATGGGGCTGGAGTAGGGCAGGGCTGGAGCCATGGCCGGCTGGGGAGACAGCCTGCCTCCCCACACAACCCCAAAAGCTGCGGTTGTGGTTAATTCACCGGGTTCTACCTCACTCAGCGTCCAGATGGGGCTCCCCAAGAGTTAGACACAGATGGGCAATCAAGGGTGCCCACCTGCTGCAGCTGCCTCTTGGGACCAGGGGGAACTAAACGCTGGGAACCCCACGTGCTCAGCACCCCTTCCTTCACCTCTCCACTTTTTCAGCAGTCGTGTTGCTGTGTGATTTTTGGCAGGTTGCCTGATCTTTCTGACCTCCGTTTGCTGCTCTACAAAGTGACACTAATATTAGCACCCGAAGTCCTGGCTTGCCGTGAAGATCAAATGCAACAACGCGTGTAGAGTGGTTCACTGAGGGCCTGGCCCATGGTCCCTCCTCGGGCTTGTCCCAGGGCACTGGTGGACTTACCCTGTGGAGCTCCCTGTCCAGATGGGAGGCAGAGGAGGACATAGGATGACTGAGGCCTCGAAGGCTAAGTTTGGGAGTCGGAGCTTGATCTGAAGGAAGGGAAGTTGGGACTGAGCAGGTGGGATCTGCCTGGCAGCTGGTTGCTTTCTTTAAACGCCACCAAGGCCAGCCTTCTATCCAGTGTCGCCTACTTAGCTCCTGCTCACACACCTCCGGGACAGGGAGTCCTGCTGGACAGCCCATCAATGGGCCGCTCAGTCGTCACCGTGTTGGTATTTTTGTAGATACGCTACCAGTCCCGTACGCATCTATCAGTGCAAACAGGAGACACATCTTTTCCTGTGTCCTCAGGAGTACCATCCCGAGGTGAGAAAACCCTTTCAGGCACCAAGTCAGGCTCAAGGCCTCCCAGGAGGGTTTCACCTCAGGTCAGAATGAAACGGAAGGATCCCAGGGAGGAGCGGGTGGCTCAGGCCGGCAATGATGCGCATGTGCTGTGTGACCTTGGACAGGTTGCTAACTGTGGAATTGGTGTGAGAAGGATGGTGGCACCCCAGACCCCAAGTTAGTTTCCACTACTCGTTGCTGAATACCCATCGTGGGCCAGTGCTTCATCTCATGTGGGAAAGCAAGGTAAAGACAGCCACGGACAGCATTCCAGTTAGGTGTCTTTATTCTCAATTATTAAGAAACGGAGGCTCAGAGAAGTTTGGTAACTGGTCCAAGACACCCAGCTTTGGAACCAGGAATTGAACCGGGGTCTCCAGACTCCCAGTCCAGATCTCAGTGCAAGGATGTGGCTGTCCTCACTCCGTGCCCCTGCCAGCACCCCTGTGGGCCCCCAGGAGTCAGGAAGTTCCCTCATCAGCCCCTATTGCCGCCCCGCCTTTTGGGGCAGAACCCTGGGTTCCCCAGTTCTTCTGCCCAACCGCCCGTGCTCCCTAGGGAAACTGGGCTCAGATCATGCCAACAGTGGGCCACTTCCTGGAGGAACCATAGGAGAGGAGAGCAAATGCTGCTGGGCGTCAGCTGTAGGGCGTTTGTGGGCCAAAAGCCAACATTGGGTGCTTGGGAAACACTTATAAGGGGGCAGGTGGCGCGTCCCTTGCTCTGAAGAATAGCTGAAGTGTTAAATGGGATTAATGAGGGCTTTCCAGGACTGGGCCCGGTGCCAGGGACTTTACTTGAATTATCTCCTTCTTGCGGCCATCCACGAAGTGGGGACGCTCATGGCCTGTCTTTTATGGAAGAGGGCCTGAGGCTCGGAAGGACTGTGACTTGTGCAGAGTCACACGGCTAACAGATGGGGAAGGACAGGACACAGCAGCCATGTCCACCCAAGTCCTCAGGCTCCAAGGCCCTCATGCATGGCCGGCAACTGGCTTGGCTGGTGTTCTGTTCTCACTGTGGCACTCGGAGCGACCAGTGCAGGGGAAGCAGGTGTTGGTGAGGCCCCATGTGCCCCAGCTGCCTCATCAGAGGCTTTCGGCTCTGAGTCTGGTCAGTGAGAACTGAGGCCGAGGGCCTGGAGGCTCCCAGCAGCCCCAAGGGAGAGAGGGGATGTTAGGTGAGAAAACTCGAGACTGGGTGAAGCAGGCAGGGCAGGATCAGAAGCGTCTCCTCACTTGAAGTATGCCGTGTCATGCACCGTGAAACCACAGCTCTCTGCAGCGCTCAGGCTGCTGGGAACCCGAGGGCTTGTCCCTGTGGGTCCCCCGTTTTAACCATGTGAAGGTTAAACCCGACGTACCCTTTTCTTGATGATTCAGAGTTAGTGGTATGGGCTTTGGTTAGGCCCATGATGTCATAACGTGTCATCTTCACGTTCACAACGGCTACAGAGACAAGCCCAGGGCGAGAGAGCAGCAGACTATTTAGAGGAAGGCCTGCCATAAGGGAGCTGGGTGGCCTTGGGCAAGTCATTTTCCTCAGGCCGGCAGGCCCAGCTTCTCATCTGTAACTCTGGGCAGTCATTTTGCCACTTCAGGGGAGTTTTGAGATGATGACACTGGGAACCTGAATGGATAGGGGTTGGGGTCGGTATGATTACTGATATCGTCGTCCTCATGTGGAAGTTGGTTTGACTGAAGGGACAGATGGAGCACCCAGTGATGGGAGACAACGACTGAGAGGGGGCTGAGTAGGAGGGACTCTATCACTGCAGGCTCAGTGGTCCCAGAGCAGAGGTGGGTCCCGGGCTGCATGGGGGGAACGGTTGTGGCCCAGATAGGCCACCCCATGGTGGGGGTACCTTGCCCTCAGAGGTTCCCTGGAGGTCCATTCCCAACTCCCTAACCTTTCCAAACTTCAGGTTCTTTGCTACGCGGAGCTCCCAGCCAGCCAGGGGCTCCTGTCTTCATCTGGGTGGTCAAAGCCCTGAGGGCTGGTAGAGCTTCCAGAAACAGCCGCATGTGTTCCCAGGTGATCCCCACAGATAATGGTCACCCCTTAAGGTGTCAGAGAATCCCCTCCCCCTACCTTCTCTCACTTGCCTCACACAGCAAGCTCCTCTGGGTTCTAGCTCAGGTCTTCTCAGACTTTGGAACCCCCAAGGGTGTTGAAACAGACTGCCTGCTGGGAGTTGTCTTTTTGTCCTTGTTGAGTGGCTGAGGAGGGGCCTGAGGAGGGCAGAGCCAATGGAGATAAGCAGCCCAGGTTTCAGAGAGGGACCCACCTGGGTT